GTGTTTGTGAAGGATCCTCCTCCGTTCCCTCGTGACGAGATTTTGGAGGAAGGTGAGGGAACCGTCGAGGGCAACAGCTCCCAGGAGGGGGGGCTGCAGACCATCGACCTATCATCCGATGAGGATGTCGGGCTGGAGGCGGAGCTTGAGGAGGAGGAGGTGTGGCCTCACGATCTGGAGAACATGGAGAAGTCCAGAGCCGAGAAACTGAAACGATCCAGCCTGAAGAAGGTGAGAACCCCAGACAGGTGCGTGATGAGTGTCCATCCTGCCAGCCGGTCTAACAGCATCTCTGGTCGCAGGTCGACAGTCTGAAGAAGGCCTTCTCCAGGCAGAACATCGAGAAAAAGATGACCAAGATTGGAACAAAAATCGTGTCGGCGGAACAACGAGAGAAGATCAAACAGAAAACCTCCAGCCTGAAGGTTTCCCCCCTGAGCTTCAGCATCAGGAAGGTATGGAGACCTCTGCTGTCCATCACGTGACCCGGAATCAGGAAGGGGAACATCTACGTTCCTCTACGTTTTCTCTGACATTTTCTAAAGGTTCTCTGCCGCAAAAGTTTTGTATAGTTCCCGTTGAAATACCTGTAAGGTTCCACAAACATTCCCAAATGGGCTCACTGATGTTCTGCTAATGTTCTCCTGATGTTTCACTAAAAGTCTCGTAGCGCTTGACTTAATTCCCATCATGTTCCACAAAAGACTCCCGACGTTCCATTAAAGTTCCCTCGATGTTCAACTAAGTTTCCCTGATGTTCCACTTACGTTCTTCTGGTGTTTCACTGACGTTCTTCTGATGTTCTACTAAAGTTCCTTGAGGTTCCTTCAGGCTGCAGTAACTGTCCTCTGTGCTTTCAGCCTCGCAGCAGCTCTGACTCTCAGCCTCCAGAGGGCGCCGCTCTGACCGAGGAGCTTCTCACCACCGAGGCCGACGTCCAGCTCTCCCCGCTGGGCAGCGCCGACCAGGACGTCCCCTTCACGGAGGTCCACGCCCAGCTGGCCCCGGCCGAGCACGAGGAGGAGGAGCTGAGAGAGGAGGAGGAGGAGGAAGTCAAGGAGGAGGAGGAGGTGAAGCAGGAGCTGAAGGAAGAGGTGGAGGAGGTGGAGGAGGTGGAGGAGGTGCCGGTGGTGCTGGAGGCCGATGTGTCGGTGGCTTCAGAGGGAGTTCCTGAGCAGTACGCTCTGTCCTCCACCCTCCCTCAGGAGGAGAAGGAGGACGAGTCCTAAACACTGACAGCAAACCTGAGCATCCACCTTAAAGGAACAGTGAAACATTCAGGTGGATCCTGTAGGTTCCTCAAACTTCTCCTCAGGTTCCACCAGCAGGCCCATTTAAATTCTCCTGCAGTTCCTCCAGTGTTTTGTTTCGTCTTTAAGTGGAACGTTCCTTTAAAGTGTGGAGCTCAGGTTTGTTTGAAGATGTTCCTGTTTTACTGATGAATCTTCACACGCTGTTCAGATATCCGACTGTTGTATTTAACGTCTTCTGTGTGTCTCTGAGAACCTCGTATCTCCAGAACAGCAACATGAGAGTCATGTCATGTTTCTGCACATTCTGAGGTGAAAGTTTGAATGACGTTGGAGAACTCTGCTGCTGAGTTCTCCCACTGATCTGAGACCTGGAGATAAAGTATGGAGATACAGGGTTCCTAGAGGACACTTAGAGTATATCTTTATGTTGAACGTTCTTCACCTTTGTGTGAAACGTTCCTCTCAGTTTTATTATCATTGATTTATGAACAAGCACCTGACTGATGTAAACGTTCTGATCAGGAACCATAAAGCAACATAAAACATTCGAACCAGAGGAACCCAACAACGTATTGAGAACCCAGAGACCACTGAGGTGAACGTGGTGCTGAACAGATGTTCTCCTGTGGTTTCCATAAATGCTCCCTTGGACTGCTAAGGTCCTGCAAACACTCCTCCAATGATCCTCCAGGTTCTTCAGACTTTATATGAAGGTCATTCCAGGTTCCACTAAGGTTCAGAGGGTCATAACGTCTTTATAACCTTCAAGTCCAAAATTCCCATAAGGTTCCTCAGAGGTTACCCTGGGGTTCCATTAAGTTGCTACGAACATTCCTCCAGGGTTCCACTAAGATTCCCATTTATAACATTGTCTAAACATTCCTCCAGTGTTCACCTAAAACTAATCTTGTGTCCCCATGAGGTTCTCCGTAGGTTCCTCTCACATCAACTACTTCTTCTGGTCCCTCTAATTTTCTCCCTTTATGTTCCATGAAGATCTCTGTATGCCTGTAACAAGGTTCCTCTAAGAGCTCTATAATTTTTTGACTGATGTCCCTCTAAGGTTCAACTCAGGATGCCTGAAGATCTGTCTTAGGTTCTCCTTAGTTCCTCCAAACTTTCTCTACAGTTGCAACAAGCTTCCCCAAAAGTTCTTCTATGGATCGCTGAAGAATCTTCCAGCTTTCTGTTAGGGTTCCTCCAAACGTTGCACTGAATACGGTTTGCCCAAGGTTTTCTAAAGGTTCTTCTAACGTTCCACAGAGATTTCTCAGGGTCCTTCCAAAGATAACCATAGCATTCCCTGAGGTTCCTCAGCATTCCACTGCAGTTCCCATAATTTTATCATGATGTTCTTCTGATGTTCTCCTTCCCCAGCGTTGTTCTAATGCTCTCCCTACGTTCTCCTAAAACCTCCCAGTGTTCTCTTATTGGTCCCTTAATGCTTAATCCTAGTATTTCTCAAAGTGTTCCCCTGACGTTCCGCTACTATTTACCTGATGTTGTTTTAATGCTCCACCTACGTTCTGTCAGCATTGTTCTAACGTTCTCCTGAGCGTTCCATCTGCTTTGCTCGTTCACATGTTGTTTGCTGGAGTGTTGTCTGATGTTCTGAGTCATTTTCTCTGATCAATAAATGATAGAGACTCAATGATAATGATTTTCAATCAATCGATTGATCGACCGTTTCAGTCTCTGGGTGTGGATGTGTGGAAGCTGATTGGTTCTGCTGATCAATAACCAGCCCGATGTTTGTTTATAGAAGTATTAACACCAGGTGTGACGATGAAACTGATCACCTGATCAAACTGATCGATTATTGAACTGTTGCTTGTTTTCTTTCTTCTTCTCACACAAACAGAAGCTTTGTGCTGCCAAAGAGCGTTTTGTGTTTGATTCCTGTCACCTGTCGATCGGCCCGATTGATCCGACTCACCTGAACTCTGTGTAATCAATAAACTCAGTGACACCAGCTGCTGCGTCCTGCGTCTGATTCCCGTCAGTGCTGTCGACCTCCTGCTGGTTCTGATCAACTCAGTACCGCAGAGGAACAGCTTCACTGTTTTGATCAGTAAAAGAATCTCCAGCTTTCTAAAGACGGATCCAGATGTAAACATCTTGTTAGCAGCTGGAGCAGCAGTGAGGACGTTCTCACGACGACTCAAAGTATTTTAACTGGAACGAAAAGCACACCTGAAGCTGACGTTCCTTCTTCTGTAGTTAGAACACTTTTGATGTTGTTGTTGATGTTCCCAACACCTTCCTGTGGTTCTGCTCAGACTGTTGCCCTTTCAGGGGGCGGGGCCAGGGAGTGGGGTGGTCTCCTCAGCAGCCAATCAGAGAATGCAGGGGCGGGCTTCAAACCAACAGACCTATCAGGAGGGACGAGGGCGGAGCCTGAGACATCTCTCCACTTTCACACAGTTCATTCATCATCAGCACTCAGCAGCAGCAGCAGCACGACCACAGCAGTACACAGGAGTACTGCAGCTGTGTAGTACTCATACTCCCCAGTACTGCGTTGCCCTTCTTCTTCTCTGCCTGCAGATGGACTCACCGGCGCCCCCCAGCCTCTCTCCGGTCGCTATCTTCTCTCTGTTAGCATGTGGCGTCCAGGTGTTAGCCGCTGTGCTGCTGACACACAGGTACGGTGGGCGGAGCTCCGCTCAGGACAGGTGGGTCCTGCTGTGGCTCTTCTATGATGTCATCGTCCACCTGACGCTGGTAGGAGGAGCTTCTTCTTCTTCTTCTGCTCTTTGATTCATGCTTGGATGTCTTCATCATTTTCAGCTGCTGAAATCTTCAGATGTTTGTTTACACGTCTGGTTGTTTGTTGTTTACATTTTCAGGAGGGTCCGTTTGTTTACACGTCTCTGGTTGTTTGTTGTTTACATTTTCAGGAGGGTCCGTTTGTTTACA